AGCCCTCCCCACCCTCCCTCGGGCTCCAGCAGCCCTCCCTCCCCACCTTCCCTCGGGCTCCAGCAGCCCTCCCCACCTTCCCTCGGGCTCCAGCAGCCCTCCCTCCCCACCTTCCCTCGGGCTCCAGCAGCCCTCCCTCCCCACCTTCCCTCGGGCTCCAGCAGCCCTCCCTCCCCACCTTCCCTCTGGCTCCAGCAGCCCTCCCCACCCTCCCTCGGGCTCCAGCAGCCCTCCCCACCCTCCCTCGGGCTCCAGCAGCCCTCCCCACCCTCCCTCGGGCTCCAGCAGCCCTCCCCACCCTCCCTCGGGCTCCAGTAGAAAATAACTCCCTCTCAAGAGCAAGTATAACTCCCCCTTCTCTCAAGTCATCTCCATATTGCCTTGCAAGTGCTCTTTCGTAAGAATTCGCAAAGCAATCCGCTGCAATTTTTCCAGGTCCAACAAGCCTGACTTTCCACTTGCATTGGCTGAAGTGCCGATGATGCCAACCTACAGCGGAAGGAAGGTTGCCATTACAGGTTAATGAGACCTTCCTGGGGCATGGGTACCCCCCCTAGCTTCTGGTGAGACTGTTGGAGGTTGAAGACAGCCTGCTGGAGGTTGGAGACAGCCTGCTGGAGGCTGGAGACAGCCTGCTGGAGGCTGGAGACAGGCTGCTGGAGGGTGGAGACAGGCTGCTGGAGGTTGGAGACAGCCTGCTGGAGGCTGGAGACAGCCTGCAGGAGGCTGGAGACAGGCTGCTGGAGGGTGGAGACAGCCTGCTGGAGGGTGGAGACAGCCTGCTGGAGGGTGGAGACAGGCTGCTGGAGGTTGGAGACAGCCTGCTGGAGGCTGGAGACAGGCTGCTGGAGGGTGGAGACAGCCTGCTGGAGGGTGGAGACAGCCTGCTGGAGGGTGGAGACAGGCTGCTGGAGGGTGGAGACAGGCTGCTGGAGGTTGGAGACAGGCTGCTGGAGGGTGGAGACAGGCTGCTGGAGGGTGGAGACAGGCTGCTGGAGGGTGGAGACAGGCTGCTGGAGGTTGGAGACAGGCTGCTGGAGGTTGGAGACAGGCTGCTGGAGGTTGGAGACAGCCTGCTGGAGGCTGGAGACAGCCTGCAGGAGGCTGGAGACAGCCTGCAGGAGGCTGGAGACAGGCTGCTGGAGGGTGGAGACAGCCTGCTGGAGGGTGGAGACAGGCTGCTGGAGGTTGGAGACAGGCTGCTGGAGGTTGGAGACAGGCTGCTGGAGGTTGGAGACAGCCTGCTGGAGGCTGGAGACAGCCTGCTGGAGGCTGGAGACAGCCTGCTGGAAGTTGGAGACAGCCTGCTGGAGGTTGGAGACAGCCTGCTGGAGGGTGGAGACAGCCTGCTGGAGGCTGGAGACAGCCTGCTGGAGGTTGGAGACAGCCTGCTGGAGGTTGGAGACAGCCTGCTGGAGGTTGGAGACAGGCTGCTGGAGGGTCGAGACAGCCTGCTGGAGGCTGGAGACAGCCTGCTGGAGGCTGGAGACAGCCTGCAGGAGGCTGGAGACAGGCTGCTGGAGGTTGGAGACAGCCTGCTGGAGGTTGGAGACAGGCTGCTGGAGGCTGGAGACAGGCTGCTGGAGGGTCGAGACAGCCTGCTGGAGGGTCGAGACAGCCTGCTGGAGGCTGGAGACAGCCTGCTGGAGGCTGGAGACAGCCTGCTGGAGGCTGGAGACAGGCTGCTGGAGGGTGGAGACAGGCTGCTGGAGGGTGGAGACAGGCTGCTGGAGGGTGGAGACAGGCTGCTGGAGGGTGGAGACAGGCTGCTGGAGGGTGGAGACAGGCTGCTGGAGGGTGGAGACAGGCTGCTGGAGGGTGGAGACAGGCTGCTGGAGGGTGGAGACAGGCTGCTGGAGGGTGGAGACAGGCTGCAGGAGGTTGGAGACAGCCTGCTGGAGGGTGGGATGAACAACCCTGCGGGTTTTCTTCCTACTAGGGAGGGTGTTGTACACGCGGTCATGTACAACACCCCACTACATGTTACACTTAGCTCTCCGGGGCAAAATTAAAAATTAACTGGTGGGAGAGCCAGCCAGAGACCAAACTGGTGAGAGGAGATTACCAAACTGGTGAGAGGAGATTACCAAACTGGTGAGAGGAGATTACCAAACTGGTGAGAGGAGATTACCAAACTGGTGAGAGGAGATTACCAAACTGGACCACAAAACCAGGAAAGAAAGTTGTCACAAGGGGTTATCTTGAGGTTATCTTGAGATGATTTCGGGGCTTTAGTGTCCCCGCGGCCCGGTCCTCGACCAGGCCTCCACCCCCCAGGAAGCAGCCCGTGACAGCTGACTAACACCCAGGCACCTATTTTACTGCTAGGTAACAGGGGCATAGGGTGAAAGAAACTCTGCCCATTGTTTCTCGCCGGCGCCCGGGATCGAACCCGGGACCACAGGATCACAAGTCCAGTGTGCTGTCCGCTCGGCCGACCGACCGGGGTAGTTATATAGGTACAGTAGCAACGTTTGTGCCTTACCCGGTCCACGAACCTGGAGATGCTCCGTTCTCTGCCCCAACCCCCCCACGGTCTCTTCAGCTAGTTTAGACCACACAGGTACAGTCAAGAAAATTTAGTTTAGCTCCCCCACTTCACGAACCTGAATGGTCTCATTTTCTTTGTTGACATGGATATTGCGATACATTTGTATCATATTTATACTACAAATTCTTCCCACTCTCCCTAACAATTCTCTCGTGGTTATTAATAGCTTTTCAACACGCTTTTATAGCCTACTCACCTCAAGGGGGCCTAATGTATTGCTTAAGAGTAAGATAAATGGTTATACCAGATCCCACACAACAGCTCAGACACCCAATTATTTTAATTGGGCCAAGTAATTTATGTAAAGTTGCAAAGACTTCCCCTCAAATAAGGCCCGCCCGTCCTCGAGTGAAGGCTGCAACCAATGGCGCGCCTCTGTACAGACAGTAATGACTTACCTCTGTACATGCAGTAATGGCTTACCGCTGTACAGGCAGTAATGGCTTACCGCTGTACATGCCGGGAGCGCCTAGTTACTCACCTGGCCTGTGTGGCCATACTCCTGGCACCGTGCCAACCTGGCACTGGGTCAGGCAGGGCGAGGCTTGGGGCCAGGCTTGGGGGCGGGGCTGGACTAGGAAGACAGCAGCAGTACAAGTAAAACTTGGCCGTTCAACGGCTAAACATACTGCTGCTGCCGTCAGTGGTGGCGGATTTCCTACACACAAACACGCGCCTCGGGCCGGGCTTGGGGAGTAGAAGAACTCCCAGAACCCCATCAAGCAGGTATATGTGGGCCTGCGGGCCGCTCCAAGCAACAGCCTGGTGGACCAAACTCTCACAAGTCAAGCCTGGCCTCGGGGCCGGGCTTGGGGGGTAGAACAACTCCCAGAACCTCATCAACGCGCCAATCTCAAAGAATCAGAGAGATATCTCCCGTCACGCAGGGTGCAGTCGCACCTCCACAGATCTCCAGTATCAGCTCTTGATACTGGTAATGGCTTAAAAGGGCACCACTTACGGGCTATTCATGCCCGTGTCACCTTTTGGGTGGCTTAATCTTCATCAATCAATCATCAACGCGCACATATCCTCCATACGCAAGAGGCCACACACACCCCGCGTAGTGTTTGCGTTCACACAAGTAACCATACGCGCACCAAGCATCAGTACGCACACGTTCCTATATCCCGGACCATCATTTAGGCTGTAATTTCTGGACTGGATACTAACAGGGGCTCTTGTTAGTGACGCCCCCCTTTGTTTACCTCACTACAGCACAAGCACCCACTGCTGGCGTAGCCTGCTTTGTACCTGGCTGTATTCTGAGATTATCTACTTTATCAATTCATATCGTTATCTAATTACAGCAGGGTAAGAGATGGGGGAGGGGGGGGGGGACATGCATCCTTCAATACAAGCAGCAGCCCCCAAGCTCAGCCTTCCACAACAGCATTTGTCGTGGAGTTATTTTCACCACGAGGCCTGATCGACGACCGGGCCGCGGGGACGCTAAGCCCCGGAAGCACCTCAAGGTATGTAGTCAGCTTCCCTTCTTACCTCCCTTCCTCTCGAGGCCTTTTACAGCTTCCCTTACACCCCCCCCCCAATGGGGTAAGGTAGTCTGTCCCCCCCCCCCCCCGGCTTCAGGGGTCAGGTTGAGACAGCCGGCGGCGGCGCGCGCACCAATCTACTTGTCGTGGAAATATCCCTCCAATTACAGCAGAAAAACTCGTGAGTGATTTCCTCCACCATTGAATATATTTACTAACCCGAGAAGCTGTTTGTCCTTGACGCCTTTATCAACCCCCCGAGGAGCGGGGGAAAGGAGTCTTAAACCCCCTCCCTCACCCCCCTACCCCCCCACCCCTACCCCCACTACTACCTACCTACCTTGGGGATCAATGACCTCGCGGCCCGCTCTCCGACCAGGCCTCCCGGTTGGTCATCTGGTCATCCAGGCTGTTGGATGCGGCTGCTCGCAGCCTGACGTACGAATCACAGCCTGGTTGATCAGGTATTCCTTGGAGGTGTTTAGAGATAAACACTTCCGGAGAGTTTACCTTCCAGACCCTAAGTTTACCTCTAATTGGTCGAGTTTTTCTTCTACACAAGACCCTGCTTATTCGAAGGTCACGCTCGGTGTTACCTTACCTTGATCGGTGAGGCTGTTGCTGGCAGCATCCTGTAAAAGACCCCTTCCCACTTCCCCCTCCACCCTCCCCCAAAGCTACTCTATCCCTTTGAGATGTATTTCTTTCTTGTCTCAATAAACATACTTGAATTTTTAGGAAATGTAGATGTTTATCTCTCAAAATGTTTGAAAATATGTTTATTGTTTGTGATGTGTGTATATGTATGTATTAACACGATGTACTGAACGGGGTGAGAATACCTTGAGCTACCTCATCCCTTTGTGTGTATTTTACCTCAATAAACTTATTTCAATTTCAATACTTGAATTTGAACCTGGAGGGTGTTACTAGTGAAGGCAGCCGCGGGTACTCACGTAATCTGACCATCTCGTCCTCAGTGAACTTGGAGGTGTCGCTGTCTTCGTTGAAGATGTGGTAGTCGATGTTCTCGCAGTAGGTCTCCACCGGGGACAGGTACAGCTCCACTGGCGAGGAAACACACCTTAATTACACACCACACAGGTAAACACCACACGGGTTAATACCACACAGGTAAACAACACACAGGTTAACACCACAGGTTAACACCACAGGTAACCATAGCACATTAACCAACGCTCAACACCAAAGGTATATACACACTTCATCACACCAGGGCAAGTGAGATCATAAGATCATTCACAATCGACTTGAGAATGGTCCAGGACGAACTGAAACGTCGTCGTCCCTTCAACTTCTAGTGTGTCGTCTGGTCATCATCATAAGGAGGATGATAATGTCCTATTTTGTACATCCATCAACTTTCCATCAACTCTTGACTCGTCGGTATGTACAGTGGAGGCCTCGCTTCTTGCCGGACCGGAGTTCGATCCCCGATAGTCCAAGAGACTGGGACCCCATTCCTTCCCTCCGTCATATCCCAGGCCGAATCATTCACCATCGACTTGAGAATGGTCCAGGACGGACTGAAACGTCGTCGTCCCTTCACTTTCTAGTGTGTGGTCTGGTCAACATATCACAGCTCCGTGTACGCATATATCTCTTCCAAATGCTATAGTCATACTGGTTTAGCAATGCTGCATATGGCAACCATGCAACACTAGCACCAACCACCACCACTACCACCACCACCACAACCACAATCGCCGCCGGGGCTTTCACTGCACAGCCCCGTTCTCTTGATTTGCCACTCCGTAAAAAATCCAACCCCCTAGCCTAATCAGAAACGAGTGAGCCTAAGCAACCCACCTAACCTATCGAGTTCGATGCATAGAAAACGTAGATATATGTGGGCCGATAAAAATAGCAGGTTGCATTTTTAAAGTTGGTTACCGTAACGTACAAAATAGGAACTATTAGTTGAGAGGACGAGTACCACATTCCCCGCGAGGACTGGTAGAGTCTGGCAGACCCAGCAAGGCCCAGCAAGGCCCAGGAAGGCCCAGAAAGGCTCAGGAAGGCCCAGCAAGGCCGAGGAAGGCCCAGCAAGGCCCAGCAACACAGAAGGCAACACTAGGTTTACACTGTGTGGAGGAAAATGTACACAACGCCTACCACACAAGGTTGAGGAGGTATGGAGTGGAAAGTGTATGGTGAGGGAGCGAGAGGAGGGGCGAGGAGTGAGGTCTGGCTCCCTCCCCTGCACCTCACCCACCACAACACCTACAGCCGCCACCTGAAGGCCAGGAGCCCTGTAATCACAACCCACCGCGGGGCTGAGCATTAGGTGGCCGGAGTGGCCGCCACAGCCAGTCAACCCGCCCACCCGCGTCTCAGCACCTACCATAAGAATAGTCAAGCTGGAATGTCGTCGACTCCTGCAGCGTCACTGTTTCCCACAATACTAACCCCCCACCTCACAATTACCCCTACAACCGCCCCCTCCCTCTCTATCCTCCAACTATCCTCCCCACCCACACCAACCACCCATCATTCCTCCAGTCACCCCTGGTCACAGACCGGGGGCGGCCGGTGACCACGTATGGTAGGTCTTCCATGTATGGTTCTGTGAATGCCAGGTCTACCGCCACTGTTTTCGCGAATGCTAAGTTGCGGTAAGAAACTTCTTTCTTACGAAACTTCTTTCGTGAATACTAAGTCGACTGCTACGGCGTGAGCGGCCCCCCAGGATCAACAGTCATAGCTGTAAGTAGACCCATCCACCTCCACCCCATCTCACTTACCCAGTTTCCTTACCCTCGTGTTTACCTTGCAATTGCCTTTCACCGTAGCAACACAGCAGAGGGCCTTCAGACCCAGGGGCCCTGTTACAAGTCTAATATTACTAGCATTTCCCACGTCCTTCAAGGAGTCCCGGGGATCACTGAACTCCCTTATCACCCACCTCTCCCCCACACTGCCATGTTTCTGACCAACCCTACGGTTGACGGCTCACTCAACCAGACTGTTGGCGCTTGCAGCCCTCTGCCAGCGCCGCGTGGTGAATAAGACTAGAGCCTGAGGAGTGTACGACCAGAGCACGACCAGAGCACGACCAGGACTCCACCACCTCTGCCCGAGCGGTCCCATCAACCACTCCAAACGGCTTGGAGTGGTTCTTAAGCAAAATCAACTTCTTACGCAAAAAACAACTTTCCTCCAAACTTTCAGTAAATTCCTCTACCGTAAATATTTCATCGGCTTTCACAATCCCTCGAGATGTCCTTCAATGAGGAGGACACATCCCTCCCGCGCCACAGGGTTCGGGGGGGACACCATGTCATGTATGTCAGGAGGGTGACCCGGGGCGGCCCACACCTGCTGCAGTGTTGGTAACCTCAACGCCGCACAGGTAGGTATCCTCAGCCTGTCATGCAAGGATAGTACGTACAGTTACTATTAATGGTAGTACACATTGTGGAGTGTTCCATAGGTAAAAGAACAAGGCGACAGCCAAAGCCTAACCTTTCTTAGATCTAATACACACATGTACTGATTTAGGCCTAGGAATACTTATTTAGGCCTAGGAATACTTATTTAGGCCTAGGAATATTTATTTAGGCCTAGGAATACTTATTTAGGCCTATGAATACTTATTTAGGCCTAGGAATACTTATTTAGGCCTAGGAATACTTATTTAGGCCTAGGAATACTTGTATAGGCCTAGGAATACTTATTTAGGCCTAGGAATACTTATTTAGGCCTAGGAATACTTATTTAGGCCTAGGAATACTTATTTAGGCCTAGGAATATTTATTTAGGCCTAGGAATACTTATTTAGGCCTAGGAATACTTATTTAGGCCTAGGAATACTTATTTAGGCCTAGGAATACTTATTTAGGCCTAGGAATACTTGTATAGGCCTAGGAATACTTATTTAGGCCTAGGAATACTTGTATAGGCCTAGGAATACTTATTTAGGCCTAGGAATACTTATTTAGGCCTAGGAATACTTATTTAGGCCTAGGAATACTTATTTAGGCCTAGGAATACTTATTTAGGCCTAGGAATACTTATTTAGGCCTAGGAATACTTATTTAGGCCTAGGAATACTTATTTAGGCCTAGGAATACTTATTTAGGCCTAGGAATACTTGTATAGGCCTAGGAATACTTATTTAGGCCTAGGAATACTTATTTAGGCCTAGGAATACTTATTTAGGCCTAGGAATACTTGTATAGGCCTAGGAATACTTATTTAGGCCTAGGAATACTTATTTAGGCCTAGGAATACTTATTTAGGCCTAGGAATATTTATTTAGGCCTAGGACATACTATATTTTGTTTATAATTACGTTGTTTCACCTTTTTGTTATGCCCTTTAGAATCCCAACAGCATAAAATAAACTTGTTGAAGAATAAGAGTTCACATTTTTGAGCAACTCAACCATAGTAGCTAAGGATATTGTCATTTATGGAGGCTGGCTTGTGATTCTTAAGTCTCGGGTTGACTATTGTTATCTTGAGGTTATCTTGAGATGATTTCGGGGCTTAGCGTCCCCGCGGCCCGGTCCTCGACCAGGCCTCCTTTTTGTTACACACCCCCAGGAAGCAGCCCGTAGCAGCTGTCTAATTCCCAGGTACCTATTTACTACTAGGCATCAGGGTGAATGAAACTTTTTGGCCATTTGTCTCCGCCTCCACCGGGGATCGAACCCGGAGCCTCAAGACTACAAATCCGAAGTGCTGTCCACTCAGCTGTCAGGTGCCCCTGACAGCTGCCTAAGAAATAAGCAATATTTCTAATATTGAAATAGGCAATATTAGACTTATAAATAGCCTAAGCCTAATAGATATAGCCTAGTGGCCTAAAATAATAATAATACCCTGACTGTTGCATACGATATCTTGTACTTATTTCTGATTACTAACGATAAATAGAACAGCGGTAAAGGAGGAAAGAGCGGAGGAGGAGGAGGGAGATGGACCAGGCAGGGAGCCGGTCGGCCAAGCAGACAGCACGCTGGACTTGTGATCCTGTCGTCCTGGGTTCGATCCCAGGCGCCGGCGAGAAACAATGGGCAGAGTTTCTTTCACCCTATGCCCCTGTTACCTAGCAGTAAAATAGGTACCTGGGTGTTAGTCAGCTGTCACGGGCTGCTTCCTGGGGGGTGGAGGCCTGGTCGAGGACCGGTCCGCGGGGACAATAAAAAGCCCCGAAATCATCTCAAGATAACCTCAAGATAGCCCCACATCACATATCTAATCACTGGTGGGGGGGGGGTTAGAAATAGCCTAAGCTACTCTATTCCTTTGAGATGTATTTCTTTCTTGTCTCAATAAACATGAACTTGAACTAATCACGTGCAGTTCACACCATCTCCATCACTTCCGGATGGGTCCATCTCCATACGTAGTGATGGCGGCACGCCCACACGCCAACAATGAGCACTCAGCCTTCACAACCAACAGTCATTACGAGCCATTAGCGAGGTAATTAGCATAGCAATGAGCGAGCGCTGTAATGCAGCGCGGGCCGAGCCCTGCCTCAACCCGCAGCCTCACTACACACAACACCCCAGCTTACCGTTGTACACCCCTACACCCTGACGCTCACCAGGGCTGACGTTTTAACACTACACGCCCCACACACCCTACTTCCTCCTCCTCGTCCCCCCCCCATCCTGGTCCCCCCCTCCTCCCCCTTCCTCTTCGTCCCCTCTCCTCCTCCTCCCCCTCGTCCTCCTCCTCCCCTTCCTCCTCGTCCCCCCTTCCTCCTTTCCCCCCCTTCCTCCTCGTCCCCCCCTCCTCCTCGTCCCTCCTCCTCCTCGTCCCTCCTCCTCCTCGTCCCCCTCCTCCTCGTCCCCCCTCCTCCTCGTCCCCCTCCTCCTCCTCCTCGTCCCCCCTTCCTCCTCTTCACAGTTCTACGTATCAGTGTTTACGGGGAAGTGAGGTCCAGCACTTCTAGGCCTCGCCTGTTAGCCTCGTACCTGCTGCGGTTCAATTTAACTATTCTGACTTTCTAATTCAGAATTTTCAAATTCTTTCAAATTGACGCTGGCTCTTTTAGGGGTCCGGCTACTGGGGAAACTCTTACGAGGGAAGGG